TCTTCTCCCGTCTCAAAGACATGTCGGATCCAATTCTACCGAGCTTATAAAACGCATGTTGTGAGAGTACTGGAAGAGTGACTGAGTAACTATTAAGCATTAGGACTATAGGATTCGTGGTTGGCCTATCATCTGTATTTTCTTGTATGTATAATAACCCAATGTGGATGCTTCTCGTCACTTCAGTTCTTGAACTAGTCCTCATTGTGGGATCTATTAGATTTGAAGTTGTCCCTCCCCTCCAACTTTTTCATGCCTGCAACCAATAATTTGTGAATTTGTAGAAATATACACTACAAGACATCAACTTATCCACCATGACAATTTTATCACGGACTTTATAAACTCGTTATAAAAAGTACAAATTTACCACAAGTATAATAAGCACGTGGTGAATAACATCTTTTACCGCGAACAAATCTTAGTCCGTTATAAATTAAAGTGAATGACCACGTGCAAAGTTCCACGTTGTTAATATAATAAGCCACCACAGGCAAAGCTCGTGGTCATTATTGTTAGTATCCACATCGTAATTAAAATAAAATTGGAGGGACACCAAAATGTTTCAAAATTTCAAACATATATGCAATTTGGAATTTTCACAGCACTACTCAAAATTTGTAAATATTAGTTGAAAAAAAAAATCTGTAAATATTATTAATGAAACACTACTTATCAACTAAAATCCCATAAAATTACGGTTATAACTCTCTACAAATAAAAAATAAAAATAAAAATTATTAAACCCCGGATAAACATGTCAAACACTAAAAAGTGAAAAACACAAATTAAAAAAAAAAGAAAAGAAAAGATAAACACAAAAAAGTTGAAAAACACAAATTAAAAAAAAAAAAGAAAGAAAAGATAAACACAAACCCACGTTTATCCTCTTAATCTTCTCTTTGCAGTAGACGTGGGATTCAAATTCAAACCTAAAATCTACACGTTTCTACGGTGTTTTCCCTCGCCCAGTAACTTCCCACTCAATAAACCCGAGTAAGTTGTGATTATTTGCATATGAAAAAGAAAACTAAAATCTCCAAGCTCCAACCATTCAAAAAGTTAAAAAAGTCGACAATATGAAGTGAAGAACCGAGGTGATTTTTTCTCTAATTTCTTTTCATTTTATTGATGAATTTTCTGTATGAATTGTTTTGTTTTTGTATCACTAACTTCCAGCTTTTCCCCTACACCGGTTACGGTGATCCTCTAACTGGTGTTCAGGTAATTTCTGTTCTTAAATTTATTCTGAAGAAAAAAAATTGTAGATGTCATGAAAAGGAAAGAAGGCTTACATGTTTATATGAATTTGCACTATCATAATTTTGTGTATATTTGAGTGTATCCACTTGGTTTGTACCACATGATTATCTTTTCTTTCCGTATTTACTTCTCTTACTTGATCTCAAATTAGTATATTCCCACCCAAGAAGTACAAGATTTTATTTTATTTTTCTTTGTGCTTATGTCTATGCAGATAGAAGTAGACATATAGAAGATGCAATTAGTGAGGTTCGAGCATTAAGGGGAGGATGTCACTCGTGAAGGACTTTTTTTTGGAGGTGTTCAAGGAAAAGTAAACTTCTAAGCTGACTATTTCCCAGTAAATGGAGGTGTACTTCATACTTGATACATAGTTTCATGTTTCTTTTTTTTTTCTTTTTTTGTCAAAATAGTTTCATATTTCTTAGTATAGGACATTGGCTTTATACCTGATTTTGTTGTAGTTTAGTGCAATGCTTGTAATTTTTTTTAATAATTGATTAATTAAGAAATTATTGTATGACAGTAAATTTGCAATTGTGTGATTATATATATATTAATTAAATATTTTTTTTTTTAATTTTTTGAAAAACGTATTACAACGGGCATCGGCCGTGGTCAATTAGTGATCCACAATGGTCATAGCGTGTGATGCTAGATTCCAATTTACCACGGGTTAGATATGTGATTATTATTTAATTGATAACGCGCTTTGACCGTGGTAGAAGTTCAAACTTTTCATCACGCCCAGATTACTAACGGACACAATGTCCGTGGTAAATTGCAATCAACCACGAACATTTACCGTGATAGATGTGGGTTTTTCTTCTAGTGATAGTCAGTGATAAATTGGTTATTTGTTTCTTGGTTGCATTACGTTTCAGTGACACCAAAACTACTATCTGTGGGTGCAAAAATTAAGGCTCAAGCAATGAGCCACTTCCCATGATTCTTAAATTTGGGGGAATGGAGTTAGAATAAAGGAGCATGATTAAACACTTCCATGGAATGTGAAACATGGGGAAATACAAGGAGTGTGGAACTTGGAGTTCAAGCATTTTATGCCTATAAAAAGGCTAATAATCACACAAGAAAGGGGGGAGGGAGAGACGTAGGATATTGTTCTATATTTTACAAGTATCCTTAACATACACTAACTTGAGCGTTAGAGTGTTTTATTAAAAGTTCCCCTCCTCTCTCATTGATGGCGAGCGAAGATGGAGTTTAAAGCTTGTCAACGTGTTCAAGATTACCTATTGGAGAAGAATTGAAGTACCTGAATTTTTCCGCTCCAACACTATCTATTTTAACAAAGCTTAGAAGATCCTCCTCATTTCTCCATGATGAAAGTAGCTAACACTCCTCGACGGATATCCCATACATTTTTGTGTTCCGAACCCCTTAACGGATATCTCATGCAAAATTAAACATTTGAACGAAAACTTGTATTATTTTTTTCTGTTAACAGACGCATTTTAATGCATATAGTGAAACACTCAAAGTTCACAAACAAAGTCTTACATGAAGCACTACATAAACTATTCACAGTCAGGATTAAGCTAGCTTAGTTTGGCAAAAATAAAAACTAAACTAGCTTAGCTAATTAATACAAGTGCGATCATGATTAAACTACTTTGCTCTTTGAAGAACAGAAAACCTGAAGATGTACTTGGAAGTTTTCCAGTCCCAGTCAAGGTAAAGACCGATTTGGTCATTTTCCTTCAAGCCTCTCCGAACCACAAACTCCGGTCTCCAACCTCCATTCAGAACGTAAAAATCGCCAGAGTTCCAATGCTTAAAAGTTAACTCACGCCGGTTGCACGTATCCCAGTCCACAATTGTAACTGGTAAGCCCTCTTTACTGTCGACCATCTTGGCTGACTTGTCGTCCAAGTAAGACATAACGTGTTTTCGCACTGCCTCTTTTGGCATCAACAGCCTGCTCAGCTCTCCGAGGTCGCTCGCCGCTAGCCTCTTCCTGATTTTCCAAATTGAGCTGTAGTCCCAGGTCGGATCCCACAGATACAGATCGGTAGAGGGTTCGTGTCCTCCGCGAGGATCATTCAAACTACTGCCGAGGCCAACGCCGAACAGTCGTACATTTGAAGGGTGGTGGTCTTCTTCTTCTAGTTTCATTGCTAATTTTTCGATTGAGCGTAAATGCTTGGAGAGTCTGGAAGATAAGAGAAGCACACTGTTGGTATATATAAAGATTTAATCATGCTGGGATTAGGAAGGTATTGGCTTCCTAATTTCATTAGGAAACTTTTCCTTTTGTTTCATTTTTCCCTTTCTAATTATTCCTGGTTCGGGGAGGTATTTTGTTTTAAATTTCCAATTCCGTTGGGGCCTGAGTTGGTCGCTTTGCGGCGTGGCCCGCATACGTATTCAGTTGGGCTCCTTTCGAGCTGTCCAATTCCATTAGGCCTGGGTATGAATCCGTTTTAGGTTTTTTTTTTAATTTTTTTAATTTTTTTATTATGGACATTTTAGGTGTAAAAATTCCTTATTTAATTTAATAGGAAACTAGGTATTAATCCTTGAAAAAAAGTTAGTTTTGACAAATACCGTATGAAAGATTAACAATTGAATTAAGTCTCTGACTGACGTCAACCTACATTGACACACCCCGATCCGGAGGATCCAGGTGTGCTGGCCGTCACGTGGGCGTGACGTAACCATAAGCACGACACGGAAGCGGAAAGCAACATAAATCAGCAGGATTTCAAACCAAATTCAAACATAACCACCTACGAACATAACCGGACGAGTTTACAAGTAAACACATAAGTTCAGAGCATAGGTTAACTGCAGTCAAGTAGGACTAAAATAAGAATACATCACCCTCAGGTGAGTCCTACATGTCCAAGGTCTGTCAGAAAGCCGGAAAAGACCTCGTGAGCCAACCACCGCTAAACTAGAACCTGGAGGGGCGCAAAACAAAATGAGTGGGTCAGTAAAACAAATTAGTTTTCCAAAACAGTTCATTAAAACAATTATATCCCCTCGCCGTAAAAACCTGTATACTTTCCCAGAAATATATATAACCATATAATATCTCAAAACTTAAATCCCAAATCTTTAACATTTTCAAGAAAACATGCCATGCCATAAATCAAAATATAAATCAGGTGAAATAAGGAATCAATCGGAGACCCTGCAGTTGGTCCTATACGATTAATTCAATAGCTCAAAATCCCACTAAGCCGGAGTCACCACAGTGACCTGTACGGCCCTACTCTGCACATCACTCGGAACTACGTAAGGTAGTCTATACGATGAAAGGTGTAAAAATACGCTCTAGTGCTTCTCTCATCATATCATCAGCGCGCATAACTAAGGTCACCCACTAGTCGGAATCACGCCTAGTGATCTATACGACTAGCATGTCGGAACCCTCACATGGTCTGTACAACTCCACCTACTTGGATCCAAGGCGAGCGTGCGGTGTGGTGAATAAAATAAGCACTAACACCTAGGGTGCATGTATGAGCTTAAACATCTTATCAACAATCAATTCAATGAATAAATGAACTCACCTGACTTACCTGTGCCTCCACAGCACCATGCAACATGTATGCATCATACGTCAATCATATATCTCATGTGAAATTCATGTTTATCAAATAATTCTATGCATGACATTTTAAAACATAACTTCGTATATTCAATTTTCTGGGAAGAATTACTAGTATAAAGGTAATACGAAAACAAAACTGCCCACTCACTGGTAAGTCGACGGGTCGTAACCCCCGTGGCGTCCCTGGATGCGGTCGTCCTCGGGATACGTCTCACCTATATGCGAAACAACTAAAATGACATTATTTAAAGCACATCACCAACGTTTCGCAATAATTTCTCATACGATGCTCAATTTTGACAAATGAATACACCAACGCGATCTACACAACCTCACGAGCGTCGCAAAATTTTTAAAATAATTTTTTGAAACCTCACGCGCCCCCACGCGCCAAAACAGGCACGGGTCTACGCGCCCCCCACGCGCAGCCACGTGCGAGTCATGCGGACGGCGTCAGTTGACGCCGTCAGGAATATTCTGGAATATTCCGTCAGATCTAACTGTTACCGTTACTGCCGTTAGGAATATTCCGTCAAAACTAACGGAATATTCCTTCTTCTTCTCCGACCTACCCTCGCCGGACTCCGGTCACCGGGAAACTGGAAAATTTTCTAACTAGCTATTCTCACTCATTTTTCGTCCATTTTTCTCGTACTTTACACCAATTTAAAGCCCTAGATGAGTACTATCACGTTGGACTAAATTTAAACACCAAAAAGCACGGGATCATACCTTCCAAAAATCCAAGAAAATCGGCCAAACTCGAACTAGGCGATCCCGACGTCCAATTCTTCCAAACGAAGCACTCCGAGCTTCGTTAGGACCTCACCAAGCTTCCTACAAGCTTCAAATTCCCAAAAACGTAAGAATTTACGTGTGCATGAACAGTGCACCACCACGGGGACTTTGAAAGCTAGGGTTTTCGAAGGAAACATTACCTAAAAGTGGTGTCAGTGTATTCGTGGAGTCTTCAGGAGTCCATTGGTGTCCTCAAACTCGTCGATCCACTAAGTTTGGAAGGGTTTTGGGATCTGTCCGTACAGTTTGGAGAGGAAGAGAGAGACTGAGAGGGAGAGAGCGTGAGGGAAGAGAGAGAGAGAAGAAACACGGGGAAAGAGAAGGAGAGAGATCTTTTGTGGTCCACACCAATCCACCCATACTTTTCATCCTAACCATACATTAAAAATTCATCTCAAAATATTTTCTAATACCCTTGCATAATATTTGAACCAATAAGGTCTCACACACACGTACCTTAGTAACGTCAAGAGCAATCTCGTCATTTCATATTCCCGTCAAAAGCACTGCTGGGACGGGCTGTGACATACATAATTCTGCATTAGTTGTCATTTATTTCTTTGTTATTCTTCCAATTATACCCTTTTTTGAATGTTTGTAATGAAGACTTTTTTTTTGTTAACAATCATAGGACGTCATTTATTATAGCTTATTTTTAGGATGTATATGATATTTTGTAGTATTTTTTTTTATTCTCATTCAAATTTCAAACTGATTTTAGTTCATATTTGAGAAATTAGTAATTCATTTTCCAAAATTAAGAGGGCTATGTATATAGTATATTGTAATGACATCACCTTTTTTATCATGGGACCTAAGGTACGAATATTTAGGCGCATTCGACTAGATACTATGATTTAGGTGCATTCATGTAGGTTCTATGATTTAGGTGCATTCATGTAGGTACTATGATTTAGATGCATTTAAATAGATACTATGATTACATATTTAGATGCATTCGACTAGATAGATATTGTGATTTAGGTGCATTGTGGTAGGTATCATGATTTAGATGCATTTGACTTGGTACTATGATTTATGTGCATTCGATTTTCACTAATATTTTTTTAGACGTCTAGATGAGGTATGTTTATTGTTTGAGAAAGTCAAACAATAATCAATGCAAAAAAATGTGGAGCAAAGTAAAACCAAATATTTAATATGGGCATTATGGGAACAAAAAAAAACGCATTAAATATTTAAAAACTAGAAAATATGAATTTTAATATTTATGATGACATGGAAATTTAGTCAAATGACTATAATGAATATATAATTTAACATAAGGTTTTAATTGAATTTCAATTTTTATCAAGGATTAAAATGGAGAAACCCCTTAATTTAATTAAATTAATTTTTTTTAATGAAGGTGTCGAAACTATTATATTAATTTAAGGGAGATGAGAGTTTCGAATTCTAGATGACAGACAGAAACCCAACACTCTACCTACTAGGATATTGAACCACATGCAAATATTATATGCTTCTTGCTATATGAAGAGTGGCCTTACAAAAATAAATTTTTGTCAGACATTTTATGAAACACTGTCTCTCATCTTAAAAGAACTCAAATATTTGTGTCAAATTATATATCTTAAATCCCAGATTATTGAAGTCGACTATAATAACTCTGCTCCACCATTAGATTAAACCGTAGAGTAATCCTATAAAGAAAAACTCGATAGGAATTTAATCAAACACTTTGATCCTCACCTTAAAAAGAACTCAAATATTGAAACGAAATTATATATGTCATTAACCCGAGATTATTGAAAAGAAATGCAGAGCAAGCCGTATTATATTGGTCTTAATGGATACAAATTCAGGTACATGCCAACAAATATTACACTTGCTAAATGTATGTCAAAAATGAAACAAAATTGAACATGCATTTTCACCAATCGCTTCCACACTCTTAAGAAAATGCGAATGCCGATGACAAGCATAGCGACAATAGCAATCCCAAGAACGATGATGGTGATACTTTGGTTGTTATGTTACTCGTACCATTTCCTGTATTATTTCCTGCAAAAATCACAATGTTTTTAGTCAAAGAAGTAATAAGCAGATATCAAGAGCACAATATTGTCCTATTTTTCCTTTTTTATGAACTTTCAATATAGTTTAGGAAAACTAATGAAAAGGGTTTGAAAGCTTTGAGTTTTAATGATAAAGACAAAATAAAGGGTAAAGTGAATAGTATCAGGATTAACTTTTTAATGTAAAAATGTGGTTTTTCATTAAAGTGAACAGTACCGGGAGCTTTCGTTGAAGTTCCCATATAGTTTTGAGATTTCCTAAACTTTCAATTTGAATCAATTTGAATAATAAATCTTATAAGTCAGCGAATTTACTGCATATGTGTAAGTTTCAGTTCATTTTTATGTTTTCTCATATCTCGATCTCAAGAATTTGAAGTATTTACTATTACTATTTTTTGTAAATTCTGATGGAATTAAGAGACAATTATGACAAAATTGACAGTTAGGAGATATAATGGCACGAATTCGGTTTAGAGTTCCTCTAAACTTCTAATTTAAAATTTTCCGAGGGCAAAGTGTAACAAAGTTCAAAGTTCAGGTTCATTTCTAAAGTTTTCCCTGAAAATTAAATTAATTGCAAGACATATAAATGATATACCTTGTTTGCCTGGAAGATTTACTAGGGAATCAGATGCTGCGTCATAGAAAAGATTGCTCTCAAACCTCAAATTACAGCTGGGTCTAAGGACTCTCCCTCCTTCCTTTCCTTCACAACATTGTGGGATATCCGAGATGGCCTCATCAAGGCACTCACTGCAATTTTGTCGGTCCAAATCAGGGGTACACTGGACTATTGCGTATATGGTTTGATTTGTTGCAGGGACAAGTGCATGTCCAGCTGCAAATTTTTTCATGGAGTCTCCTGCTGCAGCTGTCCCACTTAAATTCACCACCAAGGGGTTGAGCACCTGCTTGAACTGCTCAGCGTTTGGTGCGTTAGTCGGGCCGGGCACAAACTTAACCGGATCATCTTCCGCAACACCGAAAATTGAGACGTTCGAGTAGTGTACCGTGCAGCGCTGTGCCCATATGGTCGCTTGCTTTTGATTGGTGCAGTTCTGCCGGAGAATGGAAATGGACTCATTGAAACATGTGTGACAGTCGTTTAGGGGAACGTCTCCCCTGCATAGTGCCATTGCATTGACTTTTTCGGGGCCTTGTCCGAGAGAAGAGTTGTAAAACCCAGAGTTGATTTCGGTTTTGTTGGAAGAGAAAGAGGAGAGGACAGTGTGGAGGTTTCGTTCGTAGTTGCTGCCATTGTTGAAGGTTTCATTAGTACCGGAACAGCTCCAGCAGTAGTCGGCCGTCGTAGTGCATACGCCGTTATCAACGTCATCGGCTATGGCGGGAGCATGAAGGCCCAAGATAATAGGAAGAATGAAGAAAAGCAATGGTCTTGAGTAACCCATTTTTCTGTATGAGAACTCTCTGTGAATATTATTGGTCATTACATATAGCTGTAAATAAATAGACAATTGCTTTAATGAGAATTTTTGTATTCGGACTGTATCTACGTGGTATCACTAATTTACGCAACTACACTTATATCTATTTATTAATACTACAATTTGGATACATATGACATATCAACTATCACGTACACATATCATTATTTATTTACTCTTTTTTTAGAGCTTTGTTGAAAATTCGAGTCCGCAAACAAGTCACACGCCAGTGGGGTTTGTGTTCTTCCTTCTTCTTGGTCTAATGTGGCTACTTGGAGAAGACCTTGACTCCATCTGTGGTCCCTAATCTAGTTGGTTGCTTGACAATTTTGCAATTGGTTTTGTCCCCTTCATTCTATGGCACTAACTTTTCTAAGAGAAGACTTAGACTTACGAGTCTTTAGCATCTCCCATAACCCCTCCAATACGAAGAGAAATTCTGTGACGTGGCTATTCCGGTTAAGTTAGGCTATCTCCAACCGAAAAGGGATTAAAGAGAAATCTATTATGTATAGTATAAATAGTGCATGTTTATTATATATCACATAACATCTAAAAATATTGACTATAAACATATAATATCTAGTTTTGAAAGAAATTATTTTTTAATGAATAGTATCAGACCATATTTATATATCATCTCCAACCAAGGAGGTCAAAGGACCATAGGTCAAAACATAGTCCGTTTGATAAAAAACTCATCTCCAACCGAGACGGCTATTTTTTAGCCCATGTCCAAATTATAGCCTTGAAATAAATTATTTTTTAATGAACAATACTAGACCATATTTATATACTATCTCCAACTAAGAGGACTAAAAGGTAATAGGCCAAAACATAGTCTATTTGTTCCTGCTTGTCTTTTTCCTCAAATTTTCAATTATTACATCTCCATATTCATATTCATATTTAGTCTTTACGTCTCTTGGAAAAGGTTTTGACTTTTGGGGGTCTTGATTGAATCTTCTTCTCCCGGTTTGGTGTCATAAATTCAAGGATGAAAAGTATTGGTTACTATGGAAATATCATTCTATGGAAATATCAATAATTCAATGTCCCAATATTTCAATATTGATATTGAAATCACCGAACATCGAGGAAAATGATGTAAATTTGGTTCAAAACTAACAAATGATGGTCTAGCCACAACTTGTTACATACGTAGGATAAAGATTATGATTAATTACTTCTTAATTATTTGTTATCAGGGCTTAAGATTGCTCTCCAGTTTGTAGTAATCTTCTTTCTTTTGTGTCTATGAAATAAGAAAAAGAGTTTTGCAATCAGTTTCTCTTCTCGTCCTTTAATCAGCCTAAAAATTCTCATTCTAAAACTTAAATAACATGACTTTTCTTTGAGTGATGCTTATCTGGAAATGAATTCATCGAGTAACTTGGTTGCAGCTCGAAAGCAGAGATCAATTAGTTAATAGAAAGATAACTCCCCCATGGAGATAAACAGTTACAACTCTAAAGCAACATGAAACAAGAATACAAAATGATGACTTGTGCTACAAAATAAATAAAAAGTATGTTAACATATGGTTCCTAACTAGCGAGCATAGGGCTCAGTGATATTTGAAGGCTCATTTTTTGACACATAGACCGAAGGGGTACTGGATTCGGATTCTTCAGACTCTGCCAATATCAATCCACTGTCGTTTTGCGCATGAAATGCAGGTTTTGAGGGTACTGCAAGCGTGACAGAATGGCTATTAAGCATGGATACAACTGAAGCTGATGTCGGTCTGCTGACAACATTTTCTTGTACACAAAGTAAACCAATGTGGATGCATCTCGTCGTTTCGATTCTTGAACTCGTTGTCAACATGGGATCTATGACATTTGAAATTGTAGACTCACTCCAATTTCTCCAGGCCTAAAAGTAAAAAGTACATAAATATACACAATAAATAAATTTTACCACTTTGCCTTGTAGTGGGAAAAAGAGGGAATCCACTAACTTGATTGTACTATTACTCACATAGCTTACAAGGCTCTCTTCATTCTCGCCGTATCGAAAGCGACCAATCTTTTGACCACTTACAATTTCAAGAATCAGGACGCCGAAACTGAAGACATCCGTTTTTACAGATAAATTCCCATGATGTACATACTCAGGAGCCATATATCCACTGCATGATTATATTCCAATTTAAAATTTTAAGTTTTTCTTCTTCTGAATTCTAGTGTAAACAAAGCAGAAAACTAATGTGTAAAAGTTAGCTTGCCATGTTAATACAATACTTACTAGGTTCCCACAATTGCTTTTGTATTTCCTTGAGTTTGATCAACAGCAAACAATCTTGCCATACCAAAATCAGCAATTTTTGGGTTCATATCTTCATCTAACAAAATGTTGCTCGCTTTGAGATCACGATGAATAATTCGAACACGAGAATCTTCGTGAAGGTAAAGAATCCCTCGAGCAATGCCTCCTATGATCTTGTACCGTGTTTCCCAATCCAAATGCATATGATTGTTGGGGCCTAAATATTATTTCATTAGAATGATACATGTGTGTGCGCGCGTCATATTATCTATAAGACGTTACTATGAATTATACCGAATTTGAAGTGAAGAAATATACCAAAAATGAAGTGATCAAGACTTTTGTTTGCCACGTATTCGTAAATGAGGAGTCTTTCTTCTGCTTTTAAGCAAAATCCTAGGAGCCTTACTAAATTTCGGTGTTGAAGCTGTGCAAGTAGTATGACCTCATTCGAAAATTCACGATCGCCTTGTTCAGAATTCTTAGCGAGCCTTTTTACGGCTATAAGTTGCCCATTCAGTAGCCTTCCCTGAATGTGTAAAGGAGAAAAATAAGGAAACAATTCATAGGTAATCTTCTTTCTTGTGAAAATTTATTTATTTTGGTTTACCTTGTAAACAGCTCCAAATCCACCTCTTCCAAGCTCATTTGCATCAGAGAAGTCATCCGTTGCAGATCTTATAGTGTCATAGTCATATTTCAACGATTCCACTAAACTGATTTCATCTGAGTTATCCTGATCTGGAAAAGGAAACTAAATTAGCAAAAGTTCCAACAGCAGATGAAATAGTGTGAGAAAAGTGTTGCACTTACCTTCAACTTCAAGTTTTACCCCTCGTTTCTTCACTCTCAAGTAAACGCATATGCTGCTGAGGATGGTCACAAAAGCGACCAAAACCACGACCACCACGATGATGATAATTACTTTTGTGTTACTCTTCTTTGCAGCTGAAAATCACAAGGGTGCGATTATGAAGAATCACACCGTATAATTGCACGGTGATCAAATATTTATTACGTTTTAAGCTGAAATATTACCAAGGCTAGTAATTTTAGAACCTCTATTTTTAACCTCTTGCACTCCTCATGTGAGTGCAGAAAAAAATTATAATTACTCAGTCTGGAGAGCATAGTGCTAAAAAGCAGGAAATGAAAAAAATTGTATCGTACCTCCTTTGGGTGCTGGTGCTGCTGGACCCGGAGATGAAATATTTACTGGCAAATCGGATGTGGACTCATAGAAAAGACTAACCTCATACCTTAGGTTACAGCTGGGTTTAAGAACTCTTCCTCCTTGCTTTCCACCACAACATCCGGGAATATCTGAGACTGCTTCTGTAAGGCAATGGTTGCAGTTTAGTTGCTTTATATCTGGAGTGCACTGGACAAGTGCATATATAGTTTCACCTCCCGGGACAGTTGCATGACCTGCTGCAAATTTTTTAGTAGAGTCCCCTGATGCAGCTTTTTCAACTAACGTACTCAACAAGGGGTTAAGCACCAGGTTAAACTGTGCAGAATCCTTAGCAGGATTTGGGCTAGGCACAAATTTTATAGGGTCCTCTTTCTCAATTCCGAATATCAAGTTGTTCGAGTATCGAACCATACAATGCTCTGTCCACATGATTGCTTCCTTTGGATGAGTAGAACAATTTTGCAAGAGAGCATTTATAGAATCATTGAGATGCGTATGGCAAGCGTCCTGAGAGAGGTCTCCTCTGCACAATGCAATGGCGTTCACTTTGTTGGGGTCTTGTCCCTCGGAAAAATTGTAGAACCCAGAACTGATTTCGGTGTTTGTGGTGAAGGAGGAGAGGAGGCTGTTGAGGTTATCTTGGTACATGTCGCCGGGCGTGTAGGTGCCGGTATCGGAACATTTCCAGCAGTAGTAAGGATTATTTGTGCAGATACCGTCGTTTTGGGAAGTGGTGGGAGGAACAAGGTTGAAAAGAATTGGAAAGATGAAGATAAGCAATGATCTTGAGGATCCCATTTCTCTCTTGCCCGTGTCAGAAAGTTTCAACTTGTCTTCAATTATTGATTTTCATAGAGTAGATGAGGTGGAAGAAGCTAAGAAAAATCAAATTAAACAAAAGACCTTGGTTCCTTGACTCAAATGTCACTATCGACCCAGCTGGTTTCTTGACCCTTAATTAGAATTCCAGGTTTTGTTTCTTTGATCAATAATGGCAGATAGTATTTGGTTTGACTCTCATTACAACAATAACGAGTTGTATCTTGCTAAATATGGTCGGCTATATTTATATAATTTTAAAACGTCATTACGCTCGATTTTGCATTAAGTCTTCTGCTAGCTCCAAGTATTCCATGTTTTTTCTTAAACACTCTTTCCAAATCTTCTTATGTCTTTCTCTGCTCTTTTGTTCTGAGCCTCTATCTCATAATCACATTTTCTAAACATATAGATCTTCGGTTCACATATCTAAATCACTTTAACCGATTTTCTTTCTTCTCATCTTCAATTGCAGCTCCTCTTCCAATGATGCGTGGAATTCATTATACGTGGAATTCATGTTTTGGCACCTATTGGACTATATCAAACTTTGAAGGGAAGTTGGCTAGTGTGACTGATGTGGGCCAACCACAAAGACGAAGGAAATAAGGATGTATATGTGAATACACTTTACGTACTCGACTCTCTCAGCACCATACATTCAGCCACTCAGAATTTTCGATATTTTTTTTTCCATAAATTACTGTAATTGTATTGAATAGAAAAAATGTGTCCGTGCTTTGCGGTGGATGTTGAATGTATTAATCGCAACATGCATGAATAGTTTTCACACAAAGCAACTAAAAGGACGTTGAAGCACCTAAGAACCAATGAACAATTGGGACATCTTACTCATGAGATAGGCCAATCCCTATTGAACAAAAATCCTATTTCTTCTTCAAATTGAATCGACATCATTGATCAAGCAATTAAACATTCTTACTAGCAAATAATGGACTCAAGATTGGAAAAAGGGGAAGCAATTAAACTATATAATTTAACAAAAGTAAAGATCAACTCAACTCTTTGAATTATAATATATATCTAATTTACCAGAAAATTTTAAATTTACAGTTTACTTGATATAAGCACTTAATTTTCCTATTTAAAACAGTTTACCCATTCTTAATAAGTAAAATACAGTTTAAGCTTACTTTTTATTTTTTCCAAATGCATATGTGCTGTTTACTACACCCTCAAACCACGTGTCTTGAGCTGTTAACTATCCTCCACTTGCAGCAGTTTTCCTCCTCTGCATGGGAACCTCTTCTGCACTACTGGACTACAAAGAGGGAGAAAAACAGTATTAGGAAAACACATCATACTCAAAACCATCACACTAAAGATATTTTCAAACAAATCACAATCCATCACACAAATGCATCCAACTCCAAGGCAAGACTAAGCAAACACACAAAATGTATAAAAACCCAAGAAAAGTAGAAGTGTAACAATATCATTATGCATCTGTATTTGTTCTCACAAATAACGAATATAAGAATTTGATGATCTTGTTACTCAAACTCCAAGGAAAAATAAAATAAAATTCAATGGTTAAAATTAATCATTTTGTAAATGTATTCCCCACATCTATATCATTCAAGTACAACAAAATTCAACGGTTTCAACAACAAAAAATTCCTGATTGACTTGAGTTCAAAACATTCAAGTTCAACGTAATTGAAACCTGTGCAAGAGATTCGATGAAAACCCAGTTCCAATATTAGCCACAACGAAATGAAGCCGTATCGGCTCAGCGAGAACCTTCTCGATAACCTCCTTCAACGCAACCTATCAATTCCAACACAAAAATTGAGAAAAAGTGCGAGAATATTTGAGCTTGTGATTTTCCCGGAAACCAAACAGGGGTCTAGACTCTAAACCAAACCTTAGGTGAGGGGTGGGGTGGAGAGAGAGGGCAGAGCTTTGAGGCGAGCCACCACCTCTACCCTCCTATCCACCATATCTAAACATCCAGAGACAAATTGTCAAACACCTAATGGGTGCACATATACAAACACACACACAGACCTATATATACAAAAATTACCACAAACAAACACACATACACCTATAAATACAAAAGGGGTGTCTATATAATCACCTTGGGGAACATCTTCGGTGTGATGGAGGGACTTGTGGATGTCCATGGCGTAGTCGACCGTGTTGGTCTTGTTAAGGAGCATAAAATGGACTTGAGGATCTACTCATCTGGGTACATCTGCCGCTCCTGTCGAACTCGAGGAGGGGAAAAAAATTGAAGAAATTTGGGTTTAGGGATCTGGGTTTTGGGTTTGTCGTTGAATACTGGAACGATATAAAGAAATTTGGGTTTGTGGAGAGTAGCAGAAACTGAGAATGGCGAGAGAGAATCAAAAAGCAAAGAAAAAGCGGAGAAGAAGTCGAGGTGCAGCGATGACAGACGCGTGGGCTAGCTTCCACCGTGCGAAGCGGTGGCTCATACTTTTCTCTGACTATCCCCCCTCTCCCACTCATGAAATCGAGGATCTGCGGCAATGGCCTCTCTCTCTCTCAGAGGAGGCATGGCCTCCCATCCCCGAAACCCTCACTGAATGACAACAAACCTAAACCCACCCCAATCCCTCTCTTACTCAGTCCAAACCCGTAGCTCCCATCTCTCCAATCCGTCAGTCCCTCTGTCCCCCTCCTCTCCTCCCCCCCCAACAACCCTCTGACCGATGCATCAGCCACAGGACACCCACCCGCACGTCCCTCCCGAAAATCCTCTCCCCTAAATCCCGGCGAACGTCTCCCTTTCAACCCTTCCGTCGCCCTTCCCTCTCTCTCCCCGAGCCATAAGCACAGATCCAGCCGAAAGACCGAAGACCCGTTGTTAAGCCCAGTGGCAATCTTGTAAATGAAGCGAAATTTAGGCTAGAATCAGCCCGGTGGCAAACTCGTAAATAAAGTGAAATTGATGCAAAATTGCACAGTAGCAATCTTGATGTTCGATTCAAACACTACGATGCAATGTTCGTATTATGATTTGCTTTTTGTGGATTTAAACTATCCATTGCAGTGCATGTTTGACGAGTCACATTTAATGTTGCATTTTTTTTATATACCTTGAATATTGAATTCTTTAATTTGACTATCATAAATTAGAAACTATAACGCAGAGTCTTAATTTACTTATTTTGTGTAACATAAACTGCAATGCCATATGTGAATCCCTAATAACCAATTCCAAAATATATAAAATATGAAAAAGGGGTGCCGAGTGTTAGATTTTATAATTTTTATTTATTTTAAATAATTTTGTAGAAACCGTATATTCAATATCTAGATTTGAGAGATTACAACATATATTTATACACAAATTATAAGATATCTTCTTAGCGGTTACAATGGGACGGAAAACCAATTATATCCTAATAAAGGCTAATAACAACATAATAGCTAAACAATAATGTATTGTCCTTGAAAAACCGTAACTATGGTAACTCCCGTAACCCCCTAACAAATTTAAATACAGATTTTGTAGTTTTTGTTTATCCTTCCCTCCCAGTTGCAAACGTATGCATAGAAGGTCTAAACGCGGCTACGTTTGTCATCAAATAGGCCAATATATACATCATTGAAATGGTGTGGATTGATACATTCTTCTCCTGACTATCCTTGTCCAGATACTTTCCTGTGTAAACGATTAGTTGAAAGAACATCTGGTATGGATATTGAACTTGGCATAGCTTGTACCAAACATTGCATCAGTTGTTTTGCAACTCTTGAAGATTTCCTTGCTTGCTTCATGAAACAGTTTCGACAAACTATGGAGTTAACATCCCATCTACAAAGTGCTTGTCCAGGGACTATGTCACGTCCATCTCCAATCGTGTCATTGTAAAAACCTCCTGTGATGGAAGTGTTAGAAGACAATGACTCAATAGCCGCTCGAGATTGCTTTCAAATTGACTACTTCTGCCATCAGCTGAACAAAAAATTGAAAGGGGATCTGTAGCAGAAAGGGCAGCCGGCATCAACAGCAGAATAATTGCGAAAAGCATTACAAGAAGTTTATCTTTGTCCATTTGCTAGAAAAGGGTTCACGGTGAACACAGATTTTGGCCAAAAGCAAGAAACACTTTGAAGATTTATTTTGACGACGTTTCAGTTTTGACAGTGAAGTTCCAGCTACAAGTTTACATGTGACCATCACAGAAACTTCCTTGCTGATGGAAGACGCAAGCCGGATGTGATTAAAGTCATGATCTGCATGTTGATAGAGACCAGGAATAACATATGGTGTTCAAATGATCGGTTAATTGTTGATTGATCAAAGACTTTGCAGCTTGGTCACATATAGTGCATGCTTAAACTACTTGATTAAAATGTGATTGTTTAGAGTTGACTGGCCAAACAAGCAGTGTCTGTTGGTTAGTACAAGTCTAACTATTTGTTTGACCATTCTACTCGAAGGGAGCTGCCATGAAATTACTAGTAAGGTCTTTGGAGTTTTTATAGCAGCATAAGGATGTGTGGGCATACAAGAAATAATATGATCAAGAATAATAAGGATATCCAATGTAAAGTAGGAATGACCCCAATTAAAAATAAGATGAGAGAAAATTGATTAAGATGGTTTGAACATTTGAAATGAAGACCTAAAGATGCTCCAGTTGGAAAACGCGACTACGTGACAAAGACTCATAACACAAGGGCACAAGGGGTAGATGAAGACTTAAAAAAAATTAGGGGACTTTAAGAAAAGACATAGACTATTTGGAGCTAATAAAATACTTGGCCCAAAACCGAGCACAGTGACGTTCTAGGATTCATACAATCAACCCCACTTAATGGGATGATGTATTTTTGTTGTTGCTGATGTGTTTATGCAGGCTATATTTTGTTCACTTATTATATAAACCGGTCAAAGTATCGATTTGCTTATATCGCACAAATTTCCTTGCTGACCGAAAATCCATAGATATGCAATCCTGCTCAACAAAGTCTACTGCAGGGTGGATTGAGACCAAGAATACGGTATTGATCAAAGACTTGTTTAATTAAATTAGTTAAACTCACATCAGTAAAAATTAAAATTCAGTCACACCACAAGTTGAAAGATTTGTTGACCCAAAACTAATAGATAATGACAAGGACTTCACAACCATCAAATAATAGTAAACTGTCAGTGTTTGATTCGTGTTTGTATTATTTGAAAACAAAACTGCAAATTGATTCAGTGAGACGATGATTCACACGGAGCAGCTAAAAAACGAAGAACAGAGGAGGAAGAGAATTCGGAGTTGTTGCTTCAGCAAGAAGGATTCTATTTCTTCTTGTTGATGAGAATGAGTTCACGTTAATGGGAGGAAAGATCTTGCATGAGCTTATAAAAGAGGACTACTCTTCATATGATCAATTGGTTTTGTGGTGAAACCTCAACTTTTTTCATGGTATCAAAGTAGGTTGTCCCACGTGTGAAGCCAAACGGTAACACGCGCTCTGCGTCACCCTGTTGTATTGTTCATCTGTTAGGCTTGAAAATTTGTTACACGTGAGAGGACGTGTTAAGAATAAGTCTCATTTTAATAGGAGGAGGGAACTTCCATGGGCTTATAAGAGGGTAAACTACTCTTCATTTTACCAATTGATTTTATGTTGAAACCTCAATTTTTTCTGCTTGTAGCTAAATAGAGAGAGAATAAGAGGGAGTTAGATATAGCTGAGCTGAGCTATTGAAGGCATACTAGTTATTAGAATCATTTTTACTATTTATCCTAGTATTAATTAAGGGAACTGTTATTAACACTAAAAAAATCGCATTATATACTATTCACAAGTATATTTTTCTTTCTAATTATTGAAAGTTTGGAGTGTCAAATGAGATTTTAAGAGTGTTAATAACAATTCCCTTAATTAAAGTTTGTATAATTAATCAAATATATACAAGGTGAGATTGTAACATTATCATGGGATTCTTACTTTCAGCTTCTTTGTATATAGTTTTTACAGAAGAACATGGATCCCCTCCGGATCCATTATGTGGGGATCCTAGGAATCCCCACATCTCATCTGTACATCGTGAATCGTGCGGTCAGAAATTATTTTATTTTTATTATTTTAAGTTAATCACAAATAGTACCTTACGAAAACTGACCGCACAATATACGATGAATGACTGAGATGTAGGGATCCTTAGAATCCCCACATAATGGATCCGGAGGGGAAGAAATTTTCTCACTTAAAACATCGTCGTCATGGATATTTTTCGTTGTAAAAATTTAGAGCTTGTTTGGTACTCTACTTGAATCCAACTTTTTAAACTCAAAAACAATTTTCAAGTTTTAGACCTTAAAAACTTGTTTGGTAGGACTATTTTAAAAAATTGAACTCAAGACTAACTAAAAAATATAGTTTATTCTCTAAAACCATAAAAAGTGAGTTTTTAAATTTAAACTCACTCATTTATTTTATTTCCCTCTTGCTCTCTCTCACTCCAAATCTATCTCTCTCTTTTCTTCTTTCTCTTTCCTTTTTTATTTTATTTATTTATTATTATTTTTATCTTTTTTGTGTCTCCTCCAATCCGCACTTTTCATTCTCTCAGTTATTTCTCTCACTCCTCTTCTTCTCTCCTTCAATCATCTCTTACTTTCTTTCATTCTCTCTTCTCTTTCTCCCTCTCCTATGACCTCCTCTTTTTAGATCTCTTTGTCTAGTTTAAGTTGTAAAATTTAAAATTTTTAAATCGCCAACCAATTAAGTTTTTGAGTCTTAAAAAAAATTGTTTTCAATAAATGTTCTTAATAAATGTTTTGAGAAATGATAAAAAATTTCAAATAGAATACCAAACATGCCCTTAAATTCCTCACTGTTTCATGGATCAAATTGGTTATCAAACTCAGTTCACAATCTTGCGAGAAAATTGAAATTTCCTTGAGTAATTATCTGCATATATATGACACGAATTTATAGATTTTTTAATTTGAGTAGAAAATCACACCAAATTGAGGTATAGTTAGATCACATGAAAAATAACACTCCTACTGAAGGATATGAGAAAATTAGAGCATCGGTCCCTAAACGGGTCATAAGGTATAGTAATTGTTCTTTTGAGTAAACATTGTTTTTATAATACCTTCCAAAATTAAGGGTTTAAAGAGGAAAATATAAAAGGAATTATTCTAACGTGATTACCAAAAATAAATAATGTTACAGATTGTAACAAGTTATGGACCACTATTCAAATTAACTCAAAACATATTAAGTACGTAAAATAACACTACTCAAGTCATACTGCTAGTCATATACAGGATGCGTAATAACAAATTATGTAGATTCGAGATCATTAGGGAGCGCATGGTAATTAACATTTACCCTATACAAATGACAAGGTGAAAGAAAAGCTGTAAAGATTATAGGATTGTCTCTAAATGCAGCTTAAGAGCCTTTAACGGAAGAACTTCCAAAATATTAACCTTATTGTCATCGGTCTCAACGAGGAACATCGATAGAAATGGTCAAACCATTGCCTGAGCAATCTTGAGGACGCACTTGATCATGGTGGTCAACGTATCCTCCTGTAAAGAAGGCTGGTTTCTCAGGTCTGGGAAGAATAATAGTTTCACTTTTTAACATAAGAACAACTGAGGACATGGTCGGCCTGTTGTTTGCATCTTCTTGAACACACAATAGTCCAATGTGGATGTACCTCAAAAATTCATTTGGACGGCAGGAATCTTTTAACAAGGGATCCATCAACTCCAACCCTTTCGTTTCATTCCATAATTGCCAAGCCTGCAATCAATATCTCTCAGGGATGTATGTACTACTCCAGCTTTAATAGCTACATTAATTAGCTCACGAATATTTTGAATAAGTATTTCAAGTAAAGAACTTACATAACCTATAAGAGTAGGTTTACAATTTGTGCGATGAAAGCCTAAAAAGTTCCTTCTCCCCGTTATGATCTCAAGCAGAAGTACTCCGAAGCTGAAGACATCCGATTTTACTGAATACAACCCTTCCATAGCATATTCTGGAGCCATGTAACCGCTAATTGCAAGACAAAAATGGTTGACATATATTAGAGTTTAAATAACAAATATATACTATTCTGTTGTCTTAAAGATAGGGTTAAGTACATAAGTTGAAACAAATAATTGGAACTTAAGATTACCAATATTAGACAGAGGTATTTGTATAAGTTGAAACTTACTAAGTACCAACAATTCTTTTGGTATTTCCTTCAGTTTGATCATCAACTCCAAACATTCTAGCCATCCCAAAATCTGATATTTTCGGGTTCATGTTGCTGTCTAATAAAATGTTGCTAGCTTTCAAATCACGATGTATAATTCTAAGCCTTGAATCTTCATGGAGATACAAAATTCCTCGAGCAATTCCTCCAATTATCATGGTGCGGCTCAACCAATCTAGTTGTTCTCGTTTTTCATGTTCTGTAAATTTATCAAGTTCAAGTAGTACTTTTTGAAGTTAGGAACTACAAAGAATTATATAGACTGACACAAACATATATGCATATTCATCAAATGATGTTCACATACCAAACAGAAAATAATCAAGGCTTTTGTTAGGCACATATTCATAAACAAGTAAGGTTTCTTCTCCTTCCAAGCAAAATCCTAAAAGCCTGACAAGATTTCTGTGTTGAAGCTTGGCTACCAACACAACCTCATTCTTAAATTCTTCTACACCTTGTCCAGAGCTTTTTGACAACCTCTTTACTGGTATTTCTTGGCCATCGCTTAGCATTCCCTGTGATAAGGTATATAGGTGCTTTAGTTTATCCAACAATTTTGTTATGATCTAAGCAATTTATATATACTATACAAAGTTGTACTAGTAGAATGACTCATGAACTAATGCATTATATATTTGTTGGGTTATTACCTTAAAAACTGCACCGAATCCACCTTCGCCTAACTTGTTATCTTCGGAAAACTTATTTGTGGCAGTTTCGAGAGTTCCCAAATCAAATTGCAAGGACTCAGCCGTCCTCATATCTTTTGCATTGCAAAGAAAGTTATGATCATATGCCAGACACATCAAAATAAATTCAAAATTTTCAGTTCTAACTTTTGGGTTTCATTTGTTTTCCCTTACCTTGCTGTTTGCCATTTTCTTGTTGTAGAGCCTCATCGTTCTTCTTTGTTTCTCTTCTGCCTGGGAGGCAGTAGCCCAATGCTACAAGGACCAGAGAGACAACTAGAAGAGCAATTACAACACTCACAACAACAATGATAGTTATAGAGGAGTGTTTCTTTCTTCCTGCAGTAAGAACAGTTTGAGTTTTCTTGTCATAAAGCTCTTTGTGTACTTTTAAACTCACAATTTCCATTGATTGATTTAATTAGTTGAACATGGAAAAAATACAAATGATAGTTTTATCAAACCTTTCTTCCACATTCATCAAAACAAAAACAATTAATATCTCATGTTCATTTCCGGAATACTGTTTCTTCCCCTTTAAAATGTACTTGTTCTTATCCACTTAATATCTATCCAATGGCCGATAAGATCGTAGTTCCTACATATATCTAAATCTTGATTTAAAATATAAAAAACGAATTAACAGGAGAACTCCTATTAGTAATCTAATCATTAAACAGTTTTTCCCTCATATTCGTTGTAGTCTTGTAGAGAGAAGAGTGCATACATGATGACTTTTTTACGTGCACAGGGTACCTTACCTATAGGTAATCGCGAATTTGGTAGTAGAGTACTAGGAGGAGGAAGAGCCTCTGGTGTGGGAGGATGCTGTGCGTCGGTCCGATTGATGGCGTAAAAGAGGGTAGTATCGATCCAAACGGTACAACTGGGATATTGCAATCGTCCCAATTGGGTTCCAAATGAAACTAATTGTTCTGCAGCTTTTTCCAGACAACGTTTGCAATCTGAAGCAGAGAGATCCTGCGTGCACTGCACAAGGCTGTACAGCGTCTCATTTGACCCTTCAACTTTGGCTTCTTTGGTTGCAAAGTACTTGCTGTTATTGGCAGCCTCAGTGGTTAGTTCACTCATATTCAGGGTAAATCCTCTTGGTTCTGTAACATTAACCTCGTCCAACACGCCCGTTGCGAGCGAAATGTTCATCGAGAAAAGTAATGTCTCATTCGAGTAGCGTAGCATGCACTCGTCGAACCATATGGTAACCTCTTTTATATCAGGGCAGCGTTGTGCTGCCTCCACGATTGCATCGGGCACGCACTCTTTGCAAACCTCGGTAGAGACATCACCGCGACATAGAAACATCCCATATGCCTTTTCAGTTGAGTTTCGGCCAGCGGTGGCAGTGTAAAATCCGGTGTCAGTACGTGTGGCGTTCGAGGAAAGGGATTTGAGAAGTTGACCGAGATTATATTGGAAGCTGTCGGGGTCGGATTCGAATACTTCGGCCGGGGTGAAAGTGGTAGTGTTTGGGCAGAGATGGCTGAAGTAACGAACTGCTTCACTTCTAGCGATCAAACTCATGAGAAACAGAAAAGGGATCGTAGACATATTCCTCATCATCTCCCCCTCGCTCTTAATCACAAATGTTGATCATATATTCCTAGGTTTAACAATTAGTGATTGTTTGAGGTAATTAGATGGCAATTGCAAATTCGCAAGCATGGCTTGTTGACCCTTGGGTCAACCATACCGTGTGACTCATGAGAAAACAATTACTAAATTGCAGCTTCTTAGAAATTGATTCATTGGAAACTTTAACATGATTTGAGTGATAAAATTAATTAGTACCTTTAGGTGGACGAGAACCAGGTGCTCTTGGTGCAGGCGCCGGCAATGATGTGACGTTTTGGAGGAGTTGAATATTCTTGAACCGAGTAAATTGTAGTTATAGTCTCTTAATTTTAATTCAATTAGAGCAATGATCCATTAACTCAAAATCCATTACCATTGATCTCTCAATTCATCAAAACGTGCAGCTATGATCTCTCAACTAAAAATTCATTACTATTGGTCTCTCAACTTTAATTCAACTGGAGAAATGACCTCTTAGTTTTAACCCAATTGTAGCAATGATCCTTCTAACATAACTCGTTTTTACAAAAATTTTGCCATAGTTGACAAAAAATGACCATAATTACACACTTTGATGAGTTGAAGGACCCTAATTATATAAATGGTTATTCCAACATAACTTATTTTGACAAAATTTTGATGAAATTGATGAAAATAATTATAGCTACACATTTTGATAAGTTGAATGACCAATATAATGAATTTTTAATTAAAGGATTATTGTTACAATTTACTCTTTTTGCATCCATCTTTGCCTGTGCCCCTCTGTGCCCTTGCTTAATTGAGTGACACCTGTCTTTTTAGTAACCACAACCAACACTGTTAACTTGCCAATATTTAAAATAATAAAAAATAAACCAAATATTCAAGAAAAAAAATTAAGAAAACAACCCTAGCACCCTAAATTATTTTACTAACCACAACCAACTCTGTTCATAAATTATTTTCGACGCCATGCCCAATTTTCTCTGCTCTTTTCCCCTTTCTCAATTCTCTTTCCATGTTCTGCAATTCCTGCGATTCATGACTGTTAGGTTGGTTTTAAGTCGACCTCTTCTCTGGTCATTGCCGGCGAGATTGTCCGTAGCTTTCACATCGAAATTTTTATCGGTGAGTTTATGAACAGAGACACTGCAAAATTAAATCCCTACCTCTCGCACTCCCCCCGTCGCTCTGTAATCTGTATGCATTAGGTTTCAAAATAGCAGGCCATAGCTTCGGACTGCTGCGACATCAACCTCGGCGGCCGACTGGTACCGCGAAATGTACTATTTTGGAACCGAATGAAGGAAAATGAGTAAACATCAACACTTTTGTTTGATTTGGCGGTGAGGGGTTCGATCGACGATTCGATATCGAATCTGAATCCTAAATATGGTGCGGCAATTTGAGAGAGTGGGAAACGGCCTGTTCGGCAGCGATGTGGAGGAGAAGAAGTACGGCGGCGGGTATGGTGGCTGACTGATGTGGTCGAGTGGTGGCTGTCGTCTGGGTTGGGGATGAAAGTGGCTGATAGGTATTTTTTAAAATTTTTCTTGAATATTTTGTTTATTATTTTTTTGTTATTTTAGATATTGTCAATTTAACAGTGTTAGCTCTAGTTAGTAGAAGGACAGGTGTCATTCAATTAAGCAAGGCACAAAGGGGAATGGTGCAGAAAATTTCAACTCTCCTCCTCCGCCTAAAGGTACTGTTTGATTATCTAATTCAAATCATGTTTAAATTACAAACATTAAATTTTGGCTGATGTTATTAGCATTTCAAAATGGTTATTGTTCACTCCTCTTCGCATGATAATTGTGTTGAAATAATATCTGGCAAATGTTTTGGTGCACCTTGAACACGACCATTTAGTATTATTATTTTATTTATTTATTAATACATTTTAAAACTGAGACATATCAACCATATTTTGTACTGATATATACCTATTTAATTTGGGTAATACTAGAGAGAATAAATTTGTAGATAAAATTTACAAACTAAATGATATGTTAGCAATAGAAAATGAGCACGTGTATCAATGCTTAAGTAATAATCTAATCATCAACTTCTATGTCATTTAATTTACAAAATTTAATATTCCCATCATTACTCATTTAATTTACCTCCAAAATGAGTTGAAATTTTCTGCACCATTTTCGCCTGTGACCCCTTTGTGCCTTGCTTAATTGAACGACACCTGTCCTTCTACTAACTAGAACTAACACTGTTAAGGCACATATTAAGGAAGGAGGATTCTCTACCTCTTATTCTCATCTCTTTCCATCTCCTCCTTTCACACATTACTTTTTGTTTTATTATTTCTATAAAAAAATCAATATAAAATGTTGACGTGACTTAACCGTGACCGTTTAAATAGGAAGAGATAGAAGGATAGAGAGATTAGGAAGGTAGAGAATCTTGGTCCCATATTAAGGCCATAAACTCTATCTGGTCCATTTCCAGCGGAAGTGTTGTACAGCTTGGAAACAGAAAGATTTGAAGGCAATGAATTGAGCAGGCTGTGGAGGTTTTTGAAACGTACTATTTTCGACTTAGACATCATAAACCATCAAATAATAGTAACATATGCTTTGGATTTTGTGGGTTTTTATTTATTTATGTACGTTACATATGAGATTAGCATGTCTCATAGGTTACACAACTAGAATTAAACTTCATTGCCTAGCCTGCTCTCCATATGTATGTATGCCTAATTTTCGGACATATTGAATTGAAATTATGAGTTTCATTTTCATTCAATTCCGTCATAAAAATAAAAAAATCAAAAATCAAAATCAAAATCAAAACTTCAACATCCAT